AACGGTGGAAGGTCCCAGACATGCCGGAGTCAATCAAACTCAGTTGGCAGCTGAGTATTATACCACCGGCTTTGTCCTAAGGGTGAAATCATTTGCCCGCCACCGCTGGGCTCTTTCAGGTTCCCTCGTCTGTGTCCTCACACCCTGCAGCATACAATCTCGAATCAAACTGCGGCGGATCAGTAGAGTCTGCCTGTCCTAGCTTTCTGCAAGCGGACAGTTTCGGATCCAGATTTCCCATGCTGCGTGTTGCTCTACGTAAAAGACTACGACGCTCAGCTTCGACCTTGCAACAGGCTCAACATTTCAGAAGCACTTGCGAAATTTGCGAACGAGCATGATATGACGGGCTCACATTCGTGCATTCGGAAAAACCTGCTAGATGTCAACAAAGAGTTTTGGCTGACCACATGGACCACAGCAAGACTCACTTACTCATCCTAAACCCTACACTGCAACGCAACCACGTTTTGGTGGCCTTCAGAAAAAGAAGGCTGGGATTACGTCAAAGCAAGGCTTCGTCACTGACTAGCCGAAAAGTTTACAAGCTGCTCAAGCAGCAGCTTGGGCAATGCTCATAGTTTTCATCGGCTCAGATGGCAGACCTCATTGCCAGATGGCAAACCCCACTCCGCAGCGTCATCGCTTTTAGTGCCGGGCTCAAAGCCCGTAAAACATTCGTGCCCTGCCTCAGACAAGGCTTGCACACTGCTGAACCGAAAAGTTTACCGCTGATCACTCTCAGCGCCGCGCTCAAAGCCGTAAACCGCAAACATTCATTCCTTTGGAAAAGAAAGAGCGAAGCTTGGTCACTGCTCACCCGACAGCGAAGAAGAATTTACGCGCTGCAGGCAACCGTTCGTCACAGCAAAGCTCACTCACACTCACTGACTCACGTGCTAAAAGCTGGCAGAGCTTAGTCACTGCTCAACAGATACTCGCGCTGGGGCAACAGTTCAGCACCAGAGAGGCGACAGCGAAGCTCACTGACCGCTGATCACTCTCAGTGCCGGGTTCAATGCGCGTTAAAACATTCGTGCCATTGTGTGAGAAACGACAAGGCTTACTTACTGCGATTCAGAAAGCTGCCGTGCTACTGTCTTCTGCATTCTACGGGGCAGCAGACAAAACCATGCCTTGCGAAATCTTCTTTGCTCTGCTTTCAGGGTCTTAAAGTCTTAGCGACTCTGCACGCTTCTACCTAATCAAGACATCTTGTAGACACGCAAACAATACCACACCTTTGCATCCTGAAGCTCCTGTCGCAAGGTTGAGGAGGTCATGACTGCCCTTTTCCCTCACCGTGTTACCGTGCCATTACTCAAAAAGCTAGGCACTGTGCGCTCTGTAACCACAGCCTCCCTGCCACACTGCATTACTGCGCTGCGGACATGGATCATTCAGGAAGTGCGGTTTCGGTGCTATGAGGAGAAATAATTGCTAAAGTTTGCACCCACACGTGTACCACATTGTGTATAACTAATTTGCATGCGGTATGTTTGTTTTGCTCCACTGTATTTTAGAGCCCAATACTGACTGAGTGACTCCGCAGGCGTGTGAACCGGAGCAGCTGGTAAGCCACTCCTGTGTGTTTGGCGAACCGCTGCTCGGGGCAGGACCCAGACCCCAGGGTAGTGGTAGTGAGAGGGACTTTGACACGTCACGGTTCTCGGGTTCTTGTGTGCCATTGTCCAGGTGAAAAAGGGTCCAGGATTTTCTTGTGGACAGTTCGGTGAAATAAGCGCGGCGGGTAGCTGCAGACGCCGGAGGCTGGCCGGCAGTAGTGCCATGGAACAAGATGCGCAGGCAGCTGCGCAAGCGCTAGCACAAGCGCAAGCACAGGCAGCCGCAATCCCGATGCTAGAGATTGATGATGATGGGCCCGAGTTGCAAGCAGCCCAGCAGAATCCCTTTAGTCCTGCAGCAAGCCCTAGCAATATGGGTATGGCACTTGAAGCAATGCTAAATCGCATGGCATCCATGGTGGAAGCGTCAACGAATGCTGCTTCGATTGCTGCTACAGCTGTGCAGTCGATGCACAATGCACAGAGTGCGGCAGGTGCCAGAGCTGGACTTGAGGGCCGTGACTTGCTGAAAATCCTCCCTAAGCCCGAAGCCTTTAAGGTTGACAAGGCCGAAGATGAGCACAGCCGCTGGCAAAGTTGGTACTGGGTGTTGAGCTACATAGGTTTTTAGGGGGGTGTTCAAACCCAAGGTTTGGAACTTAGAGTTCCGAACCCAGGGTTCTCGAACTCTGAACTAAGAGTTCGGAGCCTCGAACCCAGGGTTCGAACATCGAAGTTCCGTTCGAACCCTAGGTTCGAACTTTGAGTTGAACTCGAAGTTGAACTCAACTCCGAACTTCTTGAACTGGAGTTGAACCTTGAGTTGAACTCTAAAGGCGAAAGAGTTTGAACCCAGGGTTTGAACATAGAGTTTCCGAACCCAGAGTTCGAACATAGAGTTTCCGAACCCAGGGTTTAAACTCTTGCGGCCCGAAAGTTTCAACTCAGGGTTCGAACACAGAGTTCCCAATCCAGAGTTCGAACGTTGAGTTTCCGACCCAGGGTTCGAAATCTGGCGGCCCTACAGAGTTGAAACCCAGGTTTCGAGCATAGGTTTCCGAATCCGGATCGAACATGGAGTTTCCGAACCCAGAGTTCGAACTCTTGTATCATTGCTTCTTGTTCTCTCATTTTGTTTTCTTCGCAAAAACCCCCATTAAGCGATTTCGTGTGGCTTCTTCTTCTTTTATTTTTCCGAACCCAGAGTTCGAACATAGAGTTTCCGAACCCAGGGTTTAAACTCTTGCGGCCCGAAAGTTTCAACTCAGGGTTCGAACACAGAGTTCCCAATCCAGAGTTCGAACGTTGAGTTTCCGAACCCAAGGTTCGAAATCTGGCGGCCCTACAGAGTTGAAACCCAGGTTTCGAACATAGGTTTCCGAATCCGGATCGAACATGGAGTTTCCGAACCCAGAGTTCGAACTCTTGTATCATTGCTTCTTGTTCTCTCATTTTATTTTCTTCGCAAAAACCCCTATTAAGCGATTTCGTGTGGCTTCTTCTTCTTTTATTTGTGCTTGCGTTTGAGTTTGTGGTTTCTGTCATTGTAGTGTGCTCGCAGTTAATTTTCTTCGCAAAACCCCCCCACAAAGCGATTCTGTGTGGCTTCTTCTCCTTTTGTTTGGTGATTGTTGGTGTTTGAACCCCGTTCGAAGTCTGGGGGGGAGTCTAGAACCCGGGGTTGGGCGGTTCATTTGTTCGCGGCTTTAGCATTCTCGTAGGAGACTTCATGCCCCTTCTGAAGCCCCCTTGAGAAGAAAGACTCCTCATTGACAATCTTTTTCTTTGTTTTGTCTTTCTTTGATTTCTTCGCAAAAACCCCCATAAAGCGGTTTCGTGTGGCTTCTACTTCTTTTGTGGCAGGGACTGGTCATTGGCAGCCTTTTTCTTTGTTTTCGGCAAGCTTCTAAAGACAGCGGGGGGGTTGGGGGGGCGCAGCCCCCCCCAAACGTGGAGTTCCCGAACCCAGGGTTCAAACCTCGTCCAACATAGAGTTCCCGAACCCAGGGTTCGAACTTCCTGGGGGACGGGGGGGGGGTTCCGAACCCAGGGTTCGGACTCTCTGGGAAAGGGGGAGGAGTCCCCTTCGAACATGGAGTTCTCCAAACCCCGGGTTCGAACATAGAGTTCCCGAACCCAGGGTTCGAACATAGAGTTCCCGAACCCCGGGTTCGAACATAGAGTTCCCGAACCCAGGGTTTGAACATAGAGTTCAAACTCCAGGTTCAACCTGGGTTCGAGAAGTTCGAACCCAGGGTTCAACCCTGAGTTCCGGAGTTATATGTTCTCCCCCCCCCCCGGGCCTCCCGGGAGTTTGAACCCTGGGTTCCGGAACACTCCAAAAACCTATGCTCGTGTTGAGACAGTTCTTGGTGGCAGTGGATCAAAATTTCGATGCGGAAATTTCTGTAGTGGAGCGATCCTTGAACAACCCAGTCTTGATTGTCAGTGCAGAGCAGCAAGCCCGGAGCTTTCAGCTGTATGCTCTCTTGAGTACCTTGATCAAAGGAAGTGTGAAACAGATCAACCACCAGCAGGGCTATGAAGCTTTGAGAATGCTGTTGTTGCAGTTTCAACCGCCTAGCAAAGTTCGGTCGCTTGGGATCCTTTGATGATGCCACCCCAATGGAGATAGATCGTCTTCAGAAAGGAAAAGGCAAAGGAGGTGGAAAGGGCAAAGGCAAGAATGGCAAAGGTGGCAAGGCTAACAAAGGCAAAGGCAAAGGAGGAGGCAAGGGCAAAGCATGCAGTGCCCAGGATTGGAAGGGCAATGCGAAGGGATCCAAGGGCAAAGATGCCAAAGGCGGCAAAGGCAAGGGCAAAGGTGGAGGAAAGGGCAGGCTTGATCCAGATGTGTGTGGGAACTGTGGGCGAAGAGGGCATTGGAAGAATGAGTGCTGGTTCCCTCCACAGCAGGGGCGTGTGCAACAGGTGGCCGAAGAAGTGCCGAGCCAGGCCATCCCGTCTTCTGCTGCGTCCACAGTTTCGCAAGCTACTGCGAGCACTCGAGCCCCCACGGTCGGAGCCCGCCAGGTGAATCGCGTTGAAGCAGTGCAGACCGTTTTCGAGAGTGATGATGAGATTGATTTGAGTGTGTTTTCAGTGGGAAGCAGCTCTTACATCAGGGCTGTTCAGCTTTGCGTAGGTGTGCAGGTGCAATCAAGTTTCGTGCAGGTGCAATCAGGTCCCACGCAAGTGCAGTCAGGTCCCACGCAGGTGCAATCAGGTCCCACGCAAGTGCAATCAGGTCCCACGCAGGTGCAACCAGGTCCCACGCAAGTGCAATCAGGTCCAGTGCAGGTGCAATCAGGTCCCACGCAGGTGCAATCAGGTTCCGTCGAGGTCACAGGTCAGGATGTGTGCAACATGGCGCCATGCACAGGTCCCAGTTCAAGTCAGGCGCCAGCCAGTGCAGCAAGTGCAAGTTGGTACGACATGTCGTGTACTGATGATGATGCACAGTGGACCCGTTGCTCAGATGAGTGTGCAAGTGACATGTCCTGTGAGGCCATAGCAGCCCCAGTGAGAGGTGTCATCAGGGTGGCTGGGTTTCGTCCTGAGACTGAGCCGTTGCCCGTGGTTGAGGAGGTCACAGAAGTGGTGCTCGACTCTGGAGCCGACGAGTCGTGTCTGCCGTATGCATATGCAGGTGTAGGTTGCAAGGCAAGCACAAATCAGAGAGCCAACTTTTCGGATGCCCAAGGAAACCCGTTGCGGGCTTACGGATGGCGCTATGCACAGGTCATCCTTGACAATGGCGTCACCTCTCGTGAGCGCTTCCTGGTGACTGATGTGACGTCACCCCTGCTTGCATGCGGAAAGCTGTACAAGGCTGGATGGAGTGTGCAACATGAGAACAATGAGCTGGTGCTGTCCAAGGGTTCTCGCAAGGTGCCCGTGCGGTTTAGGCATAACAGCCTTGTTGTGGATGGAAGCATCAGGACTGTGACCAGCAAGCCGTCTGATGGCTTCGTTCGTGCTGTCAGCTTGAACCCTGTTCTTGAAAGTATGGTCAACAAGGGCAACGAGTTCTTTGAGGAGCTGATCCCAGGAGTGCAAGGGCTTAAATGCGAGTCCGATGCCTACCTTGATGTGAGCTTGTATTTGCCGATGGAAGGTATGCAGTACCGCACCACTTTGGTTTGCGTTGATCCTGTAATGCGCATTTGGGAGCTTTGGGAGCTGTGCCGCGATGTCACAACTTTGGATGTGCTTGATGAGCAATTTGCCGATGGGGTAGAGCGCACAGTGCTAACCATTGCCTCCAGAGAAGCTTTGACAGCAGAGCAGCTTGGGATCGTGATGCAAGGTGATGTGCCAGAGGCGCCAGATGGTGCTACAGATGTGCCAATGCATGAAGGCGAAGGTGAGCCTGCAGGTGTTGCACAGGAGGTTGGAGGCATCGGCTCTCCTCCTCCTTTTGAGTCTACTGTTCCGGGCACCCCTGATCTTGAAGCTTTGTTTGCAAGTGATGTTGAGGGTGAGAAGCAGCATCATGATGGTGCGAATGTGCCCGTGGCCCAGCAAGCAGCTTTGGAGGCTGCAACCCGAGATGATGAAATGACCGGTGATTTCATTGAAGTGAATGGTGTCAGAGTGACCGCCGACTCGGCGTTGAGTGTCATGCGCAAAGCCTGCGAGTATCTGAATATAGGCCGTTCAGGTGGTAAAGCCAAGGTGTACAAAAGGTTGTGCGAACACTTGAAGCGCCTTGAACTTGCAGAAGGTGTGCGCCAGAAGCAAGAGCGTGCACAAGGTGAGAGCCGTGAGCCTCGTGAGGTTCCGCTTGTGAAAGAACCGACGCTGCATGAACGGTTGCAACACAATCTGACGCACGCCCCGTACCGTGAGTGGTGCGAACACTGCGTGATGCACAAGGCGCGAAGTGATCGTGCCAGCGCCACTGTCGAGCCTAAGCGGGCCGTCTCGGTTCTCTCCTTCGACTTCGGGTTCACAGGTCGCGAGCTTGACCCTGAGAACAAGCTTATCACCCTGTGTGTGAAGGACCGTGCAACAGGTTGGAGAGAGGCCATTCCCACCAAGCGCAAAGGCGGTCCAGAAAGCACCAAATTCCTCACCAGCGAGATCGTCAGACTGTGCAATGTGCTGGGATACAATGATGTGACCATACGTTGCGACCCTGAGCCCAGTTGCAAGACCCTCCAGCAGGAGGTTCAGAAGGCCCGAGGTCGACTGGGTCAAAGGACGAGGCTGGAGCAGTCAGGTGAAGAGGAAAAGGCCTCGAACGGTGCCGCGGAAGAAGCAGTGGAATCCACCAGACAGCAAGCATGTGTGCTGTTGAGTGCTTATGAGCACAACACCGGCAAGCAAGTAGGCAGTTTGCACCCACTTCACGCTTGGGCTGCTCGTCATGGGTCATGGCTTATGAACAGGTACGTTGTTGCGCGAGACCAGCAGACCCCTTTTGAATGCACGTTTCAGTCACCCTATACAGGGAAGCTTGTCGAGTTTGGTGAGTGTGTAATGGCTATGTGCCGCACAGCGATGACCAACAAACCTGTGAAAGGATCCGCCAAATGGGTCCGATCGCTGTGGTTGGGCAAGGCCAATGCCAGTGATGGCCACCTGGTTGTCACAGCAGGCGGAAAGCTTCTCATCACCCGTTCCATCCGCCGAACGCCTGAGCGATGGGATTCCAGCTTGCATGACTGCATCAAGGCCTTTGGCTCTAGCGACGCCTCCAGCGCACTTTGTGTGCACGGCCAGGGCGGGGGGGGAGTTAGGACCCTGCAAAGATCGCTAGCGCAGCGGCTTCATGGCACCAGAGAGCGAGGGCGGCGGATGGTCCTGTGGGTCAGGGCTCATGCTGCTGCTTTGCAAACTTCGTGACCAAGGAAATCCATGTGCTGAAGGGGCTCTCGCCTACTCGGGAGCTCCGGACCGGCTGAGGGCTGCTGTGGGTGGCAGCCTTGGCTACAATACTTCAAGAACCATGTGTGAGCTACGAGAGGAGAGTGCTGTGAGTGACAGGAGTGAGTTGGTGCATTCGCATGGTATGGTGCCCTTCGCACAATAAGCATGCGGCCTGGCGCGCCCCTGCGCCTCTGTCTAGTGAGCTCTGTCGGTTACTTAATCAAGAAGCCGACACACAGGCACGCCAAGCAATGGGGCGACGCCTCTCAGGTTCCTTACGCAGTCGATGGAAACCTCTGGCAGAGGAGGCCGCGGCGTGGGAGCGCAACGCTCTGTACGCCTCAGCACACGCGAGTGAGGTGTATCATTCGCACCTTTCGGCACTGCAGCGACGCCACACTGAAGCTGCACAGGGAAGCGAGCATGACACTCATGATTAGGCGACTGTGCTTGTGCGTGCCTTGTTTAGGAGTGACGGTGCATGGTAGGCAGTGCATGTGCTCATGTGTGTCTTCATGTTTGCGACTTGGTAGCTTCATGCATGTTGCTCTGGGCAGGACTTTTGGTCAGGTGCTTCGGACGACTTGCTGTCTTGCTTCAGGTTGCAGTCAGGACTGCGATGGCCTCGAGTGGTGCAGCTGCCTCTTCCTTGCAGTGGTGGCGATGGCAGCGCTCTGGGCATGCGGCGCTGGCGCGGGCCCCTTAGCCCTTCGGGCTCCCCTGGGCCTCTCTTGCGACCCGAGCGCCGCCATGGTGGCTTCAAGCGCGGCCGCGAGAGCTGGCGACTCCCTCGACTTCCACGACTTGCCGCTCCTCGTGTTCTGCGACGGCTCCTACACGGGCGATCTGGCTGTTTCTATGGACTTTCGGGACTTTGGCTTCAACGGTGGCTTTTACCAGTTAAGGCTGATCTTGGGCAAGGTCTCCGACTCCTGCGACTTCGATGGCGTGGCGGACCTTCGGGTGGGTTGGTCGGCTACTTCCTCGACTACTTCAAATTGCTGCTCTACGTGTACCACGGCGTATACTTGCAGGGACTGCTCGAGGACCTGGTCTCTGGTCTTGGGCTCGGCTGGCGACTTCCGCGAACTTCACTACGTGCTCTTCCTCGTGTACCGCGGCGGCTACTACCTGGGCGAGCTGGGCAACGACTACCTGGACCTTCGGGACTTTGGCTACAACGGCGTCTTCTACCAGTTGGGGCAGCTCGTGGGTCAGGTCTCGGGCTTCTGCGACTTTGGCGGAGTGGCGAACTTCGCCTTTGGTCAGCGGCTTCCTCCGCTACTTCAACTTGCTGTGCTTTGTGTACCACGGCGGCTTCTACCACCGAGGACCCGGGCAGCGACTACGTGGACCTCCGGGACTGTGGCTTCAACGGCGTCTTCTACCAGTTTGAGGCTACTCTCAAAAAATGGCCTGAGAAGGAGAAGCTACCCTGCCCCGGGACAGGCTTCCCAGGCTGTTTTTTTGGGCTACGATTGGGCAAGGTCTTCGGCTGCTGCGGCTTTGGCGGAGTGGCGAACCTTCGTGTGCTTTGGTCGACTACTTCCTCGTCCACCTCAACCTGCTGCTCCGCGTGTGCCATGGCAGTTACTGCGGGGGCGGCTTGGACGACGACTTCGGGAACCTCTGGGACTTTGACTTCAACGGCGGCTTCTACTTGTAGGGGTTGCTCGAGGGCTGAGTCTGCGGTTCCAAACACTGCTGACGGGTGTGATGCTGCTGAGACGTCACCCTGCACTTTCTGCAACTTCGACTTCGGCGAGCTCCTGGAGTGCTGCTGGCTTCGCCGCTGGCCTGCACGTCGACTGACTTCCCACGACGAGCTCTGCTGAAGGACCTGAGGCGACTTAATTTGTTTTGAGTTTTCTGCATGTGTACATGACATGTTTCATGTAGGGCTTGCCTGACACGTCTTTTAAAGTCGTATGCAGCCCACCGTAGCTTCCGAGGCCCCTTCCCACAAAGAGTTAGGGCTTCGTTGGTAGTGTTTTATTTCTTCGCTTCGCTTGAGCCGTACTTTGTACGTGTACTTGTACTTTAGTCTCTCGCGAGGTGTCGTTGAACCTTTAGTCCTGCTTCTGAAACCAGTCGCTGGACGGTTGGAAAGGCTGTCACTCCACTGTATAGAGTGCCTGTGACTTTTGGCCGTGTGTCTCACACCGACGTGACCAGACCCAGGACTTGCAGCCTGCATCGTGCGTGCTTTGCGCGCACTTTGTCTGGGGCTGCGAGCTGACCGACCGAGCATGACTGCATCAAGGATTTTCCTTGGGACCACCCGGGATTTGTTGCAGGTGGACTTGGCAAGATGCGCAAGCAGCGTGAGGCCAAACCTGTTGAAGCTGTTGCGGAACCAGCGGCTGATGAAGTTGGTGTGCTTGGGCCTGTGAGCCCTTTGCTTGCAGGGCCCGGTGATGAAGCTGCTTCGGATCCTGAGACCAGCGTGAACTACTCGCCAAGCCTCCCTGCTTCAGAGCACAAAAGCAATGGCCCAGATGGAAGCGCAGGCAGCAGCACGAGCAGCAGCAGCTCGAGTGATGATGATGGCAATGCGCCAGCCGAGCAGTCTGATGCTGCTATGCAAGGTGTCGAGGCTGAGGTGCCACAAGGTGTTGCAGGAGTGCCTAGCGCAGGCGGGGATGCGAATGCTGAGGAACGCCCGTCTAAGGCAGCCAAGTTGCGTGCTGTGACACAAAACGAATTTTACCACAATGATGCATCAATTGATTTTAATTTTGAAGATGCCGAGCTTGATGAGCTAGAGGGCTATGATTATGGGCTGGCTGATTACTATTTTAGTGAGGAAGCTGGCGGATCTGATGCGACGCCCGATGAGCTGTGGAGGCCATTTGGGCCCACAGAGCCAAGCCTTTCAGAAGCCGAGATGCTGATGATTGACAGTGCAGCCGATGATTTTGAGATACGTAGGCTGTTGGCAATGCATGTGCTTGAGGCCCTCACTTGTGACGCAGCTGAGCAAGCACAGACTGAGGGTTCCAGACTGTTGTCAACGAAATTTGTCAGGAGCTGGAGAATCAAGATGCGCAAACTTGGTAATGGAACCGAACAGCAGCAATACTTGAGGCGGTCCAGGTTTGTCGGTCGTGAGTACGCATGGATGGATAAGGACAGGACCGAGCTGTTTGCTCCCGCTTCAAGTAGTCTGCTCACAAGGTTGTTGCCATCCGCCTTCATGAGGTCCAAAGGTGACGGCCATGCATGCTGTGTGCTTGATGTGGCAGACGCGTTTCTCACCGTCGACCAGCGCATACCAACGGTCGTCAGGGCAAGCCTCGGGGATCAGCAATCACATGTGCAACATTTCCGTCTACTGAAGCTCCTGCCGGGGCAGCGCGATGGAACGATCCGGTGGCATGAATCGTTCACTGAGTACCTTGACAGCAAACTTGGATTGGAACCGTACGTGCCATGCCCGGCACTCTTCAAGCTGAAGAATGTTGCAGTTGCTGGATTGTTGCATGTTGACGACTTGTTCAGTGAAGGACAGCGCAAAGGCTTGGATGTGATGGTGTCATGTGTGCAGGACAAATACAAGTGCACGGTGAGCTGGCTTTGTGAGCATGGGGATGAGGTTTCGTTTCTCAAGAAAGCATATCGGTTGGTTCGTGATGACCTCTTGATTATCCAACCTCACCCGCGCCATGTTGAGAAGCTGGTTGAAATGTTCAACCTCACACGTGCGAGGAGCAAGTCGAGCCCCCTGCCGACCACTCTTCCAACGGATGATGAAGAGTTGACTGGCGAGCAGAGTTCGATGTTTCGCACTGCGGTTGGAGTACTCTTGTATCTGCAGTCCGATGTGATTGAAGCGCAATTTGGGATCCGCTGGTTAGCTCAACACATGAGTCGCCCCACCACTGGGGCACTGCGCGTGCTGAAGCACATGATCCTTTACCTTCGGGACACTAGCGGTTATGCCATAGGTTTCCCAGTGCCCACCATAGGCATAGGAGTCAGTGTGCAAAGCAAGGCGGGGCACGATGTGCTGGAGACGCACACCGACGCCGACTGGGCTGGAGATAAGGTGCATCGGAAGTCGGTGTCAGGATGCGTGATAACCTTGAACAGCCACTTGCTAAGCAGCAGCAGCCGGACGCAGAAATCCATAGCATTAAGCTCGGGGGAATCTGAGTATGCCAGTGCCGTTTCAGGAACGTGTGATCAAGTGTTCATCCGCAATGCCGTCGAGTTTGTCCTTGGAACAAAGGTGGAGTCGCATTTGCTTTTGGACTCAGCGGCAGCCCGTGGTGTGATCGCCCGACAGGGCGCAGGCCGAATCAGACACTTGGAAGCGAAGATGTTATGGCTGCAGCAGTACGCCCGTGAAAGCCTCCAGGTGCACCCTGTTGATGGCAAGCACAATGTGTCCGACCTTGGAACGAAAAGCCTTCAAGGACCCCGGATCAGAGCATTGCTGCACAAGGTTGGGATCCGGGATGCCAATGATGACTATGCGCTTGTGGGCAGTGAAGAGTTCCAGAACCTTCTTGATGGAAACACAGTGCGCAAGCTGGTGCGAATGGTCAAGCAGCAGGGCAATGCTGGCAATTCCGTTGGATTGCAAGTTGCAATGATTGTCTTATCGCACGCCTTGAGCCAGCATGCCGTTGCAGCCGCAGCGGACAGCGAGGAACAAGATGTCGGTGCCGATGATGGCACAGATGGAATGCACAGCATCGTCCAACAGGTGCTGGAGATGATCATGCTTGTGTTCACTTTTGCAGGTGAGTATGCCCAGCTGTATCCGATTGCAGCCACAAGCTTCATGCAAGGGTTCATGTGGATGATTCTGATGTGCTTGGGATGGTGTGTGTGCTGAAGGCGCAATGTGATCTTGAGCATGCGAGGTGATGCGTCAGGAGATGATGGCATGTCTCCTGCATCGCCACGCGGTGCCAGGAGTAAGCGAATGACCAAGCCGCCCAAGCGCAGTTGCGATGACAATGATGATGAAGGGGCACGTGGTGAAAGTGCCAATGCTGGTGATGTGCCAATGAGCAGCCATGAATCGCCAGGTCGCTTGAACTTCAACGTGCCGTTGACCCCTGGAGCCTCGGTCAAGCTTGAAGTGTCGAGTGGCAGTGCAAGCGAGAAGCCGTCAAGCAGTGCAGCAAGCACAAGCAGCGCAGGAGATGCCGATGTCCCGCGTGCAAGGCGTCCACCCGTAAGGCCCAAGCCAAAGGCCAGGAACAGCGGTGATGATGAAGTGTGGGTTTCCGGTGCCCAGGGTTACTGCTACCACAAAGCAGGATGCGGAAAGTTGAACCAGAGCAACAGTGTGTCATCGACTACCAGGCGGTTGGCTGAGAGTCGTGGATACCGCGGATGCCGCATTTGCAATCCTTGAGACTTAGACCACTTGTGTATAATGCTCATGATGCCCATTCCTTGAGTGGGTAGCGCTTGCGCTGCTCACTGATCGGATGGATTGGCGCGCTGATGGAGCTTGTACAGTGGCTGCGGGTTAACCTTGTACATAGACTTGGTGTGGAACAGCAAATATGCAAGGCATCTTACACATGCCATTTTGGCGTGTCAATACTTGAAATCACTGAACAATCGCAATGTCGCAACCGTGGAGCGGTTGAAGAGTCCGAAGGGGCAGGTTGAGACCGCCCGATGCATTTAGGCATCCAAATCTTACGTCTCCTTGAACTTGAATGCTGAGCTTATCTTGATTCTTGGAAAGGCCTCCGCTTGGGTCAGTCAAGCAGTCACTTCGCAGGCAGTCCGTGCCTCTGGAGGTGGCGGTAACTAGTTGTCGCTACGTGTACAGGGTAGCTTTGCGCCAAAGACCTTTGAGGCAGAGCGCTGAAACTGACAAACGTCTGAAGCTGTAGGAGTCTGTGGAGCGTGTAAACTTTGTGTTTCGTCGTACGGAAGGGCAGCAGCAAACTGTTAAAGAGCTTCTCGAAGTAGCTCGCTCTTTAGGCGGAGTGCTAAAGTTTGTACCCACACGTGTACCACATTTTGTATGCTGCCGCTGAACTAATTTGCATGCTGTATGTTTGTTTTGCTCCACTGTATTTTAGAGCCCAATACTGACTGAGTGACTCCGCAGGCGTGTGAACCACAGGAAAAGTTTAGCAATAATCCAGTCAGCCTGCCTCTGCCGGCACCAGTGCAAACGTCCCTCAATGGGCTGTCGCTCGAGCGAGTCGTGGATTTCCTGCACTTCCATGTCTATAGCCAAGGCGCCGCACTCGAGGACACTGGGCAGGAGAACCGTCGGATGTCGCACCATGACACCACCAGGCGTTTTGCACGGGGTCTCCCGGTGGTGCTGAAGGTTGAAGACTGCCTCAGCTTTGGCACATACGTGCTTGGCTTATCGTGTCCCCATGGCTACACGCCTACGGAGGACACTGGCTGGTTCTCGCATCGACAAAGCGCTAACCGGCCTCCCACAGAGGGGTGCCTTCTGCAGCTTACCTTCCGGCGAGGGCAAATGATGGCGGTATTTGTGGATTTGATCGTTCCTGAACGGGTGAAAGGCAAAACACGTGAACAACGCAAAGCCGAGCGTCGTCGCAACCGCCTCAACCCGATTGCTGTGCTCTTGCTCATCCGGCAGTGGCCATCCTTTCTCGGGGCCGCCCCTCAACCTGGCCAGGACTGCGTACTCAAAATGCCTGAGGTACGTGTCCCACTGGCCATTGGTATGCTCGTGCGCCCGTGCACCTTACCTGCGCCACGGCCTCGGAGCCACTTCGCCTCGGAAGTGCATCTCGCGCTGTCCTTCTTGCAGGCAGTGGAGTCGGCTGCCAGAGCTCCTCAATTCCCACCTGCCCCTGACCTTACGCCGGCCGACTTTGTGCGGCTCAAACAGCGCATATTGCCCTCTACCCAGTAGCCAGGCGCCACAACCCTCGGGAGCCGTTCTGCAATTGGCGTCTCCCGTCATCGCTGATCCCAGAAGAGCTGCGCGCGTTGGCTGCCCTGATGGGACAGTCCTTTTGTCGCCACATTGCTGAGCTTCTGAACAGCCCGGATGGCCTCCTGAGCGGGCACATCACGGCCATTCTAGCCGCTCGGGCACAAGGCCGCAGCTCTCTCAGCATCCTGGGCTGTGCTAGCTCATCCAAAACTTTCTCTCTGTGGTGCGCCCAAGTCTGTCTGGATGCTGTTCTGGAGCAAACGGTATTCTGGACAGCGCAGCAGCATTCTGCGCTCATTGCTGTTGTCCGTATTGCCTCCAACCTGTTGGTCGATGCCCCGCAATGGCTGCGCCCGCTTGTCGTTGTGCGTAGGGTGTCTGGCGATGCCGAAATGATTGACCCATCTTTTGATCATGTGCCTTTCACCGAAGCTGCCGAACACCAAGCGGCCGGCTTAGGAGAGATTGCTACGACTCAGCCAGGATCCACGGAGCGCAACGCCCGTCTTACATCCCCCTCAGTTGGCAGTGCTCACATGTTACTGCTCACACAGGGCTCTGCCGCGCTGCAACTTCGTTATGCCTCCTATAGCGAGGTGAAAACCTACCTTACCAGCACACATGTCATTGTGATTGACGAGGGGCAACAGGAAGGACAGCCCGCCTCGGCGGCCATCCTTGCGAACACTGCCGGCCAGCTCGTCATCCGCACCGGGGACCCACGACAACCCGCGGGTGGCGGTAAAGGCGAGATCCAAGTACGCACCCTGGCACGACTCATTGCCAAGCCCGTCGGCATCCGCGGCGTCGCCCAGCTAGCCCCGCAGCCTGTCTCCCCGGGACGCCTTGCCGCGGCACTGAGAGGTTTGGTTCAGTCTACACCGCAGGGGCCGCTTCACACTATCCGGTGGACTAGCTTAGGACACCGTCATGACGGCCATCAGGGCGCTGAGCCGCCGACGGGAGCCACCATAACCGTGCGGCGAGAGTTGTCCGAGTGCCTCTTTGGCATTGAGGAAGAGGTTGAGGTCAACCTCGATGAGGATCTGCAGGAGCTACGAGGATGTCGGGTCACCCGGCAAGGGATGAAATACTTCATTCCTTATTCAGGCATCACCAGCATAGGTGACCGAGTGTGCCCTCACCCCGACCGGCTCACGCCAGCGGCTATTGCGGTGGACTTCCTCCACCAGTCGGAGTCCCATAGCGAGGCGATGTTGTGCTATCTCAATCGTCTGTCAGCTGTCGGGGCAATACTGGCGCCGGCCAATACCGCTATGCAAGCTGAAGGCTTGGCCCCCATCAATGGGGTTTGCCTGAATCTAGCCCTGGTCGCCTCCACCAGGCTGCTGGCTGACCTTTATCTACTAATCACGGCCGTTCGATGCGACACATGAGGCTTGCCTCTACTAGCTTTATTTTCCTAGGAGAGTTTTGAAAATTACTGCGAAGTTTTCAAAACGCCTTTGCTTTATTTTGAACTACATTTCATGGCATGAATGCATGCTTTGAATCGTCTGAGTTCATCTCTTTTATTTCCCGCGCCGCCTCGAGACAGGGGTGGGATGGGTGGGTAGCTGCTCCCTGGCCAAAGGGCCGGAAATTTTTGTAGAAGTGGGGAGTAGCGTTGGCCATGCTGGCCTGACAAGGCCGATCTGCAGCCAGCATGTCGGGAGGTGACTCTCTTGAAAGCAGCCTCAAGAGGGCTCGTGTGCTTGGGGCTTATGAGGGTCACTGTGTGTCATCGACTCGTGTGGCATCCCGAGGGATTGGAAACGCAGTTAGGATGCCGTGGGAAGTATCTTCTGCTTTTCTTGACATGCCTGCTTTGCCTTCACCTTACGCCAAAGGTGGGAGCATAGTGTCAATGCCTGTGGGGCCGGCCGTCCCTGCAGGGCCGGTTAAGTCGTCTTCAGGAAAGCTTGAATCACTCAGGCTTGCAGGAGTGAGGGTCCCGAATGCACCGGGGCAGAGCTGGGATCAAAAACTCTCCGAAGCAAGGGAGGCGGCTTTGGCAAAGTGGCTTGGGATTCTTGAGAGGTTCCCCGAGGATTTTGGTTTGACTTTGTCGATTCGGTTAGACCGGGAAAATGGACGAGATGCCGACTTGAAGACCTCATTGCAAGATGTGTTTTCTCAGAAGGCGAGCGTCACAATCTCAGGCCGTGCCGGGCCTCTAGCCAGGTACGTCAAGCATTGCCGAGGTCACCAGGTCAATCCTTTCCCTGTCACCGAAGCCGGGGTCTATGCTTTCCTTCAAGACTATGCATCACACGAGGCGCCCACTTTCGCAAGGAGCTTCTTGAGCAGCCTCGCTTTTGCAAAGTTCACTGTGAGCTTGAAGGTGAGCGATGAAGTCTTTAGCCCCAGGGTCCGTGGGCTGTCGTCGAAGCTATATCTTGACAAGAGAAAGACTCGACAGAAGCCAGCTCTTAAAGTTGATCATGTGCGCAAGTTGGAAGCCATTGCATCTGGTTCGATCAATCTCGAACCCGCAGATCGGGTCGCTGCCGGCTTCTTTGTTTGGACCCTTTACGCACGAGCGAGGTACTCAGATGCCCAGGCTGCAGGTGCCATGACTTGCGACTTGAGTGATACCCCAGATGGCGTTGTGGGATACCTTGAGGCTGCTGTTGAGCGAAGCAAAACTTCGTTTTCACTTGAAAGAAAGGTCAGGTATTTGCACATGTTCGCTCCCATCCAGGGAATAGGCGAGGTGCCCTGGGGTTTTAAGTGGTTTGAGTTCTATAAAGTGCATGGACCTCCTTTGGGGACGGGTAAGCCCTTGCTTCCGAGTCCGCTCTCTGGAGGAGGGTGGCAAACGGCGCCGTTGGCGGTGGCAAGTGCCACGAAATGGATGAAGTCACTCCTGATCCGTGCAGGATGCGACAGGTCTTCCGTCGAACCGCTTGGGACGCACAGTCTCAAGGCGACGACCTTGAGTTGGAGCGCCAAATTCGGATTAGCCCGCGAGGTGAGGGCGGCCCTTGGTTATCACGCCAGGGGCCGTGATGGAACCGAGATCATCTATGGGAGAGACAACATGTCTGCTCCTGTGCGCCGGCTGCAAGAGGTCCTGCTCGAAGTGTCACGCGAAAGGTTCATGCCGGATGCCACCAGGTCCGGCTACTTCGTAGCAGCGGATCGAGAAGGCCGATCCCGAGTCGACTGTCAGGCCATTGTCGCAGCCTGAGAGGTCTGAGCGTTACGAGCGGCAGGCAAAGAAGCTTGTCGGAATTTCGCTAAAGGGGCCTCTGGAGCCTGCCGATGCGCTTGTCGACCTTGCTGTGGCCTCCTACGAGGCGAATGAGCTCAGGTACATTCCGTGGGACCGGTGTGTGTCAAAGGAAGCTGAATTGGCTGGCGAGAAGAAGCGAGATGTTAGGTTCACGGTCGAAGAGTCCTCTGGCAAGCTTCGGATTGAGCATAAGCAGCCTGACTTGGTTGCGGATACTTCATCAGAGATTCTTGTTCAGCAGGCCCTCACGAGGAGGTCTCTGGCCATGGATCAGGCGAACCTGATCGATTTCAGTGTCTCCGACCAATGGACTCAGCGCTTGATGAAGGCTCGCATGCAGACACCTGCGGAGCATTTTGTCAGGCCCACTTGGAAGCAGCTTGAGTCGGCGGATCGGCAGCTGTTTGCCGAGCTTCGTGATAAGACCAGGGCAGGAGTGCAGACCGTCGCATCGGGTCGCCCGTTGGACACACTCCTGCCAGATGCGATGTACATGAACGAAGTGTCATGCTTATTGCAACCTTTTCCGGCCCCTGCCCTAAAGGATGTTCCCCAGAAGCCGGATGCTCCCAAGTGGGAGAGGCCATCTCCTTACAAAGGTGGGGGCAAAGGAAAGAAAGGTAAGCAGAGGTTCATGACAAGGTTGCCCGCCGGCTTGGAAGGCTGCAGGTCCCACACTAATCGTGGGGACCCAATCTGTTTTGCCTTCAACCTGGGAGGCTGCTCGACGAAGGGGCAGAAGTGCGAGAAGGGCTTGCACATCTGTGCAATGCCTAAGTGCGGTGCTCATAACCATGGTGCAGCGCAGTGCCCAAAGCGGGCTCAGGGTGGCTCGTGACTAGCTGGTCTCGAGGGTGCTTCGCAGGCGGCCGGTGCTCCAGAGAGTGTGCATCAGCCGGCAGCGAGGACAGCACAGGTGGATGATCTCCGAGAGGGAGTTCATCGGCCGAGCAATGCATGCGCGGGCGGCTCTCCTCCGAGTGGAGTGGTTTGTCGTCCGCAATCAGGTGTTGATCGAGAGGATCATCACGTGCACAACGTTGGCTCTCGCAGTGCCATCGCCAGGCCATCACCAGGTGTGGTGGAGGCCGCACGCAGCAGGTCCCCGAAGCCCCGTGACGGGGCGGAGTCACAGAGCGGCACAACGAGCTCTACACTTGACGAGGGTCATGTGAGTGCCACCGATGTTCTGCGAGTCTTCGATGGTCTTCCTTCGGATGCCTTGAAGAGGGGTGCCGATGCACCTCTCCCAACTTCGAAATCTTATGCCACGGGAGCGTATGTTCTTGGTGGTAATGTGGGCTTGAAGGCCAATGCCTCAGCCAACCCGGAGGCGCTTAAAGTCTTTGCAAGGTTTGTGAGACAGCGTGCACCGGGGTTTAAATTTTCTTCAATAAATATATTCGAGGATGTTCGCACTGAGCGCCATCGTGATCAGTGGTTGACTGAATTCTCAGGTGGAGCCATCTTTGTGGAGCATGAAAACGGTCGGGATGTATCCGACCTTAATGGTGCCCGAGGCTCTCGCTTGCAGGTTGCAAAGGGCCCTGTCCGATTCAATGCCAGACACAATTGGCACTACACCGAGGCGTGGCAAGGCCGTAGAGTCTTGCTGGTTGCATTCACAATCCGTCATGTCGAATCCCTATGCAAGGAACATCTTGACTTTCTCCGCAAGTGTCATGTTGATGTTCCGGAATGCGCGCCCGAGGGCGCGCGGTTGGCGCCTGCAGAAGTGTGTGCTCGTCAGCCGCCATCCTTGACCTCTACTGCAGCTCAGGAGTCGCTGCTGCCGGCTCGGGTGCGGCGGGACGGATTCCAAATCATAGCGCTTGAACATTCTCGCTCCGCTGGGCGAGTGCACACTCACCTTGTCCCTGTGGACATTGAAACTGAGTCGGGTTTCTCCTTTGCGCAGACTGTCATCAACCAAGACGCCCCTTTTCACGTGCATTTCTTTCCTGCGACCAAGGATTGTTTTAAGGCTACTTTTAGCGCCGGGCAAACCATTCGCCTCGCCAAGCTCTTGCTTGCATCTGATTCGCATTGGAGTGTCTTGCATCCCCTGGCGTCAGCCCTGTGGAAACAGCTCGACTTGCCCGACAACCTCCATTGCGTAGACTTCTGTGCAGGTTGCTACGGGGCCCCCTGTCCGGTCAAAATGCGTCTGTGCACAACCCAGGCCGCGCTGGCTGGCATGCCGGTGCCAGCATGTCGTTGTCGCCCCGGGCCCCACGCTGCGGGCTCGCTTGCACCAGATGTCTTGTACACACCCAAATTCTGTGATGTGTTTGCTGGCCTCCTGCAGCTGGCGGTTGGCCAGTCTGGCCTCTTACTTGAGCACGCTGTTCCACTGCAGAGTTCGCGGCATTCTGCCGTCGCAGCCGCTGGGCGGCAGCCTCGATTGTCAAAATTCCAGCCGCAGATCGCCGAGTTTAAGTGCCAGGCCACGGTCCGTGAGTTCCCGTGGCCCCTTCCTTTGGATAATAAAGGCAATCTCACATGTGCCGTAGGGTCCATCCCTCCTGGCTCCCGCCTTCTTCGCGTTGTGTGTGATCGGGGGGTCGTCGGTGCGAAACAGGTCGGAAGCCTGTCAGGTGTGCCTTCAGCAGTTACCTTTGGCATTTACCGCACGGAACAAGAGTTTGTGGCTCAGGCATCGCATATCGATCATCCCTTCGACTTGTGCGTGGCAGTCCCAGACTTCATGTTGAGAGCGTTGGCTTTTACCTTGAAAGAGGGCCCGGTTGGTGTGATGAAACACCGTCTGAATTTGCTCCAGCAGTGGACTTCTTGGAAACGCGAGTTGGCTGGTGCCGAAGCAAATCTGCATGCTGCCATGGATCCTGGTGTAGCTTCTGTTATGAAGGGCAAGAACATCTTGCTTTTGGAGAAGATTGCATCATCTTTCAGTTGGCCTGACACTGAAGTCTTCGAACACCTCAAGCATGGGTTTCCTTTAGTGGGAGAGTCGAGTCCTTCTGGCATCTTCGATGTGGATAGAAAACCGGCTCTGATGACAAGGGCAGAGCTTGTGCAGCATGCTAAATTCCTTAGGCCTGCGCTGTGGGCGAAGGTGGCGAACGCGGAGGTGGACGATTTAGCTCGGGAAGTGTGGGACTCCACACAGCAAGAGATGCTAGTCAAGGAGTGGCTAACAGGGCCTTACTCGTGGGACGAGCTGCAAGCCCGTCATCCAGAAGGCTGGCTTCCGGTGCGGAGGTTCGGCATTTTGCAAAAAGCCAAGACGCGGTCGATAGACGATTTGGCCGAGAACTCTGTAAACTGCGCTTATGCTGTTTCCGATCGGATCTCTTTGAGGGCCCTTGATGAATTGGTCTGGCTTGCGATCACCCTCTTTAAGATCTTCATTGCAAAAGGCGAGGTGAGCATCCCTTTGTCGGACGGTGACCATCTTCGTTTTCCGGTGCATTCTTTTTGGAGGGCCCTGAAGCCCGATGCGCTTCAGCCGAGCTTGAAAACTGATCAAATTTTGTGTTTGTACTCGTACCCTTATTTTGATTGAACAGTTTGGTAGCTTTTGGACATGTAGCTTTGAGTGCATGGAATAACCATATTACGACCGACATATGCAGGCTCAGAGTTTGCGTGAAAGAGGATTGTTTTCATGGTAGCGGAGCACTGGCTGACCAGTGCTTCGGAAACACGCTTGTGGGTTTCCGTCACTTTAAGTGTCCAGGGGCCCAGGCTTTGAAATCCTCTTCTGCTTTTCGTCTTCGGTGAAGTTAGGTAGGATCGCAATCCCGGCTCCTGACCGGACGAGCCATATCCTGCTTGAACAATCCGAGTGGCAATCACGGCGGCGAGTGAAGCTTCTGCTGAAGCATTGAGGGAGCGGATCAGACAGCTCTATCTTGAGCAGCTGTTGCAGCGGCCCTGCCCAGAAGGCCGCACGCGCAGAGGTTGGTGCAAGATTCTTCACGGGTTTCAGGAAGCTTTAGATACCAAGCTTGAGCGACTTCACACAATTTCTGAACTGCATTGTTTTGCCCTTAAGTGCTTGAAGGATCGCGATCTTCGAGAAACTTACATTGGGTTTTGTGCAGCGGACACCGCAGAGTTTGCCATACCAGACGGTGTTGTTGAAAGTTGCGTGCACCCGACTGAAGAGCATTCTGCGTTTGACAGGGACCTAGAGCTGTTTGAGCAGACAAGTTCCTCTCGAGGTTTTCAGGAGTTGAAAGATTCGCCAGCAGAGGAGATTGAATTGCGTGAGCCTGAGCGTGGTGTGTTCAAGCGCCTGCAATTATCTTCTTCTGCTGTTATCGACTTAGAGCCCAATCAACCAAGTGCAAATTCATTGCAGAGTGGAAGCCGCAGTGTGATTGACCTTGACTGATTGTTGAAACAATGGCTGATTTAGATGATGATGATCTTGGTGGTGAGGGGCCGACAGGGCCTCCAGCGTCAGGGAGTGCAGGACCAACAGTTGGACCGCAGCTTCCCCAGATGAGCACGAATCCGTTTTCGCCATCGGCAGGTGGTTCAGTGCCTAATCAGGTAGTGCTTGACGTTGCTCAGTTTCAGCAGATCCTGCAGACCATGCAAGGCCAGAGTCAGGCTGTTCTTGCAGCGGCAGGTGTAGCGAGTGCAGCGTCCCCGAGCAGGAGTTCAGGGACGCAGGGCTTTAGTGATGCAAACCGCATTTTGAACAGGCCCGCATGCTTTGGAAGCACCTCGCATGACAGCGACTTGGGGTCGTGGCTTGATTGGGCACATGCCTTCAAGGCTTGGCTTATCTTCGCCGACCCGCAGTATGAGATTGAGCTTCAGACAGTCGAGTCAAATCTTGATGTAGAGAACCCCACCATGCCAGCTGAAACTGCAGAGCGGTCGCGTCGCTTGTATGCTATCTTGAGCAGTCTGCTGCAGCACAAGCCAAAGATGCTGTTACGGCAAGTGTCAAATCGCAACGGCTATGAAACCTGGAGGCAGCTGGTCAACATCTACGCGCCGCGATCGAAGGTGCGAGGACTTGCATTGCTGAATGCCATCATGTCGTTTCCTCCGTTTGTGAAAAGCAAAACGACCAGGGAGCAAGTTGACGGTTTGGATCGCCTTGCCCAGGAGTATGAAAGGGTCTCAGGAACGGCTGTGAATGCCGATATTCTCCTTGGGACTTTACTTCGGGTTTTGCCAGCGCACTTGAGAAACCACATTCAACTTCAGATGAAGAGTGACACCAGCTATGAGCAGGTCAAGCAGTTCATTCTGACATATGAGGTGACGACCAGCAATTGGTCTGCGTCCAAAGTGCAGCAAAGCTTAGGCATAGGCTCCTCGGGTGACCATAGTGCCAGTGATCCCGTACCCATGGATGTAGACAGGGTCGCTAAGGGGAAACCTAAAGGCGGCAAGGGCGATGGTCGTGGAAAAGGTGGAAAGGACAAAGGTGGAAAGGGCGGCAAGCCCAATGGCGGGAAGCCGAATCCCGGTGGCGGTGGAGGCAAGTCGCAAAATGCCAACCAGCCGAAAGGCAAAGGAAAGGGAGGCAAAGCACAGAAGGAGACGCGAAAATGCCATCACTGCCATAAGGTTGGACATCTCGCCAAGGATTGTTGGCAACTGCATGGCAAAGGCAAAGGAAAAGGTGTGCATCAGGTTGCAGAGGTGCACCCTTCAAGTGCAGCGAGCGAGGCACCTACCATCACAACATCAAGTGGAGCAGCCAGCACGAGTGGAACAGTGCGAAGAGTTCAGGTGTTTGACTTGAGTGCGCCCGCTGACTGGTTCATTGGAGGGCATGTTCGTGCTGTCACATGTGCCATGCAGTCAGCTCGGAATCCCAAGGCAGTTCAGAGCCCAGCAGGTCCCAGTGGCCAGGTTGCGATCGGCCAGGCGTGCAGCAGCGACATGTTGTCACCAGAATTTCTTGAGATTGTCCGATCGCTGGAAGGTTCATGTTTGAACAGTGCAGAGCCAGCGTGCGTTTTTGAGAGTAGCGATGCAGTCAGCTCGGAATCCCGAGGCAGTTCAGTCCCAGCAGGTCCATTTTATTTTGATCAGAGCACAGTGCCGCAGGTGTCCCAGGCTGCGCCAGCAGCAGATCAGAGCACAGTGCCACAGGTGTCCCAATTTGACATTTCGGTCGATGATGATTCAGGATCGTGGGAGCACGGAGTTTCGGTGCATGAGCTCAGCACTCTCAAGCGCTTGGAGCCCAACAAAGGCTTTGTGTATGCTGTTCAGACAATCCAAGAGCTGCCCTCAGCTGACGATGCCCTGGATGTGATTTTGGATTCAGGTGCAGACATGAGTTGCTTGCCTCTTGAGTATGCACAACATGGTTTCGACCACGGTCCTCACAACTTGCAACTGCGTGATGCGCAAGGCGAGCCGCTTGCTGTGAACGATCTTCGTGAAGTTGAGTTTGTCGTTGAAAGCAGCACAGGGGAACATGTGGTGTGGCGAGAAGTTTGTGCGATCGCCCCAGTGACACAGCCTCTCTTGTGCAAGGGCAAGCTCATGAAAGCAGGCTGGTGGCCCGTCAGACAGCCAGACATGGCTCTTGAGCATGACAGCAGTGTGAGGGTTCCGATTTCTTTCAAAGGAAATTCCTTGTGCGTTCGAGCAAGCATTTTCAGGGTTGGCCAAGAATCCTTGAGTCCAGCAGGGCATGTGATGTTTGTCCAAGCATCAGTTTGCAATGAAATGGCCGATGCGAATTTTGGATGGCAAATGTCAGGCACGGGAAACTTGTACTTTCGTGGCAGGAGCACTCACTACATTGATCCGTCGATCATTGCGCCAGTGGGGTGGCCCTGCAGAACCACTTTGGTCAAGCCGTGCACACCTGATCATAATGCCTGGATTTTGCTTGAGCATTGCGTGCACTGGGGTGAGTTGCGAGAGCTTGCGGCCATTTTACCGCACGGAGAGAGTGATGTAGTATGCATTCTCTCTTCGTCACGTGAGGAGTTGTCTGAGTTTGGAGTGGAACCCCACAGGTCAACGCAAGGGCACATTGATTGGTCTGGCCCGCAACCTGGAGACCCAGATGCTGATGAGCTTGCAGATTACGAGCCTTCCGAAGCCGACATGCAGGACACTTCTGCTCCACAGTTGGTGGAGGCGATGCCAGTTGTGCCGCAGGTTCACAGGGATGTGGAGGTGTTGCCAGATGCCGAGGGCGTCACAGGCGAGGCACCAGTGCCAGGAAGCAGCAGTGACATTCTTGTGTTTGAAGGCGTCGAGCTTTCCTTGCAGAGCACATTGAGTGTGATTCGTACGGCATGCAAGTCGGCTGGGATATCCGGTTCAGGGAGCAAGCAGCGTTGCCTTGATCGCTTGAGGGGTTACCTTGACAAGCAGCAATTGGCCCTGAGTGCCGAAGTTGCTCAGACAGTTGGAGATGACAGTACTCGTGAGCCGAGAGGGCAGTCCGTCACCAAGGCCCCAACAGAAGCCGAGAGGCAGTTGCATGAGCTGACCCATTGGCCATTCCGGCCATGGTGCGATCACTGCCTGGCCATGCGTGGTGTTGAGGACCGGCATGAATCACTGCCGGGGAGTGCCGACACTGAGGTCCCGATCATCAGCTTCGATTATGCCTTCACCAGTGTGTCAGGTGCTGAGGGCCAGGGCAATGCAGCCAAGTTGACCGTTCTGGTTGCACATGACACCAGCACCGGCAGTGTGCTAGGGCTTCCTGTTGCAAGCAAGGGGCGCGAGGATCTGAAGTTCAGTGCAATCGAGCTTACAAGGTTCGTGCAAGGCTTAGGCCATAACAGCATTTTCCTTTGCTGTGACAATGAGCCCTCCACGTTGGCTCTTCAAAGTCTTGTGGTCAACGTTCGGACCAAGCTCGGGTTCAAAACCATGATCCGTGACGCGCCGGTGCACTCGCATGCATCAAAAGGCTATGTGGAGAAGGCCATAGACTTGGTAAGAGGTCTTTCCAATGTCTTGCTTGATCAGGTAAGAGTCAAGTACAACTTGAGTGCTGAAACCATCAGTGCAGATCACCCTTTGATGGCATGGAGCTATGTGCACGCAAGTTACATCTTGAACAGGTTCGGAGTGAAAGGCGGAGCAACTGCATTCGAGCGTGCCACTGGTTACCGTTTTGCATCCAAGCTCGCCTGCTTCGGAGAACCGGTTTGGGGTTTTAGGCGTGGAAAATCCAAAGGGGATCGAAAATGGCATAGGGCAGTATTCTTGTCGAAAACTACAACAAACAATATGTATATCTTGATGAATGCCCAGGGCGTCTGGCTGACACGATCCATCAGACGCAATGCCAAGCCTTGGTCGGATGAAGTGAACTTGATTTTGGAAGGAAAGGGTTTCCCTTGGAATTACCAGTTGGGAGTTCTTGGAGCGAAAATTTTCCCACAGCCACGCAATCGTGTTCCAAAGCCGGCCGAGGACGCTGATGAGGTGTTTGAACAGCAGCAGAGTGCGCAAGGTGATGCAACAGGTGCCAGAGGTGATGAGGCACAGGCAATTGCATCAGGTATGCCGAGTGTGGCGGGGATGGCGGGGATGCCTCCGCTTAGCAGCCAGCCACCGAACCCTGCACCATCCTCCAGAGCCACATTGCTTCTTGATCGGCACGACAGAGGGAGTGCGAGTGTCCCAGGCAGTGTGCCAGCGAGTGTGAGACCTCCTCCTCCTGCGCATGCTGCGGTGAATGAGTCACCAATGGAAGTCATGGGGACCGACCCACCAACATCCTCTGAGTCATCCTTGTCTTCCTCTCCAGAGGCCTTGCCCACTCAGCCTGTGTTTGACGACAGCACCATGCTTGCTGAGGTGGTAGAAAGTGTTCGAGCAGGTGCCAGCACAGGTCGACAGGCTGAGGCAGAGCCAGATGAGTCCCATGCAGCAAAGTTTCAGCGGATCGCCCGAGTAGGCCGTGAGGACTTCCCAATCAATGATGAGGTTTTGGAGTCCGCCGCAGAATGGGAGGATGCAGCACAGTATGTGCAGCTTGGAGAAGATGCCGATGCAGAGCTTGATCCAAGCCTTACCGCTGAAGAGGCAAAGCTTCTTGAAGATGAAGACCTTCTATGGTTCGAGGAGATCCCAAGCCTCAGTGACGAGGAGTTGTCAGCCTTGGATTACGTGGCAGACACTTTTGAGGTGAAGCGGCTTCTTGGAAAGCAAGTCTTGGAGGAAGTCGGTGACAGCTTTGATCTCAGTGGTTACAAGGAGCTCTCCACGAAGTTCGTGAGAACGTGGAGGCAAAAGAAAAGGCATGGGCGCATGATGTTCTTTCGTAGATCACGCTTGGTGGCAAGGGAATACAAGTGGATGGAGCGTGACCGGGAAGGTTTGTATGCCCCGGCGACATCGTCGCTCACCACGAAACTTCTGCCATGGCTGTTTTGCGAGATGAACAGGCGTCAGGAAGGTGCAGCCACAGACGATGATCCCATAGGCGTCGTAGCTCTCGACATAAAAGATGCTTTTCTTTGCGTCCCACAGGAGCGTCCCATGCTGGCCAAGATTCCGGGTTTTCCTAAAAGGATGCGGTTCCTCAAGATGCTGCCAGGGCAGAGGGACGGAACGGCCAGGTGGCATTCGTTCATCATGGACTACATCCGCGAGAGACACCCGTTGTCTGTGTGTGCCGAGTGCCCTTCCTTGTACAAGCTGAAGGATGCGAAAGATCGCTCCAATCCGGGTGTGATCCACGTCGATGACCTCTGCCTTGTTGGGTATGTGAGGTGGATCTTGCAGCAACTGGTTCCCAGTCTTGAAAGCACTTTTGAGCTGTCGTATGAGGTTGCATGCAAGCCCGGTGAACATGTGCAATCTTCTTGAAGTGCCACTGCACAAGAAAGTGCCGACGCCGTGCACAAAGGACATTTTGGTGCCCGACTGCCCGACACCAGCAAGTTGCTGGACAGTTCGAAGGCTGCGCGCTTTCGCAGCGCAATCGGGATTGCAATGTACGTGTCCCAGGATCGACCCGACGTTGCCTTCACAGTGAGGGTTCTGTCTCAGAAGCTCCGAGAGCCGACAGTGCAAACTTGGAGTTCGGGTCAGAGGTTGGCATCGTACTTGGCGTGCACCACAGGTTACGCAAGCAAGGTGCATGCCCGAGGAGACAAGCTTAGCATTCTTGAGCCTTCCGATCCTGGTGGAGCGCGTGATGGAGTCATGCTGGAGGTGTTCTGTGATGCAGACTGGAGCGGCAACAAGCAGAATCGCCGCTCGATGAGCAGCAGCTCATTCTTTCTGAACAGCTGCTGCGTCTATACTTCCTGCAAAAGCCAGCGCTGCGTAAGCCTCAGTAGTACTGAAAGCGAATTTTACGCTCTGGTCTCCGCGGCGTGCGACGGCATCTACTTGAAAAGAGTTCTTGAATACCTGCTTGAACTACCGGTGGATCTTTGGATGCGGACTGATAATCAAAGCTGTCGCCAGATATCTTTGAAGCAGGGTGTATCAAAGATCAGGCATCTTGATGGAAGGTTCCTCTGGGTGCAGGAAAAGACGGCAGATGGAACACTGAAAGTTGGCTCAGTCGACGGGCGATGGAACCCGTCAGATCTTGGAACCAAGGTCCCGGCAACTGGGAGTCGCTTGAGAGCATTGCTTTGCATGCATGACTTCGTTGACTGTGCCGGTGATTGCATCCAGGAGGTAGGCCGTGCCGACTATGATCAGTTGGTCGAGTCGTTGCAACACTGCAAGGACACAGCCCGTGTCAGGCGACTGATCAACAAGTCGCTGAAGACCAATGGTTTGAGCAACAGCAATCTTGTTTTGATGATGGTGAGCTTGATTGCAGGTGCAGATGCAAGTGGCACAAGGCGTGATGTGAGTGTTCAGACAGAACCAGAGACAAGATGGTTCAGCGTTTGGGTGACCGGTTTGGTCATCCTCGTGTCTCTGCTGGGTGTCATGCTGAGCCTTGAGCGGCTGCGGGCCGATCGCCGCAGGGACGATGCAAGCGCGTATAGGACCACCAGTGCCGAGCCGAGCACGTCTGTGCCAGAGTATGGGCGATGGAGTGTGATCGCCGCAATCCTGTGCGGTGTGCCTTCGCTTGTGTGCTTGATGCTCATGATGCAGCTACGCAAGTTGAGATTCTTGCTGGTGGCAGAAAGGCATGAGACCGATCGTTTGCAAGGAGTCATCAATGAAATGGACTATGACCGCATGATGTGGGCAGAGCACCATGCACGAGAGGGTGCATCAGCGTCATCATCAGGTGTACCGTTGCAAGTTGCATCCACCAGTGGGCGTGTGGGCAATGCCACAGTGCCAGGGCATACGCCAGAGTTGCATGTTTATTGCACTGCAAGGCGAGGCAAAGCTTACCATGCAAAGCGCGGATGCACATGCTTGAACAACGCTGATGAGATCCTGCGACTTGGCTTAGCAGAGGCCAAGGAACGTGGCTACCAGCCATGTGGGCGATGCTTCGGAGGCAATCGCAAACAGAAATGAACGAACCAGCATTTTCTTGTGACGCTGGTGACCCACTTGAAATATGCTCATGATGCAGATGCATTGGTCATCTTTGTACATAGTCAGCGGCGTGAGCCTTCGGGAACACTTCGTTGACGGATGATTGTAGATAGACTACTTGAGCTTGAACGGATGTGGGGGCCAGTGTTCTTGAATACCGCAGCGATGCATTTGTGCATCACGTGCCAACACAGCATTTTGCTGTCAATCTTGGTCATTCCGGATCAACTTCGATGGCTGTGGAGCAGCCTGAACCCGCAAGGAAGTATGAGCTTCCTCACGGTAACTAGGCCGTGACAATCTTCAGAGTGCTATCTTGAAGAGAAAGCACATGTGGGGCGCAGCATGCGCATTAGCTCGCATGAATGGCGTCCTCTTGCGTCTGTCAAGAAACATTTCGTCCCAAGCTGACCTTAGCTTGTGGATGGAGTGGTCGCGTAGTGTACAGTTGAGCCTAGCAGGATGGCAACACGCCATAAAACCTTTAGCTACTTAGGTCCGCTACTGCAAAACGTACTCGTACTGTTGTTGATGCAAATACGAGTGCTCAGGTGCAACACGCATTTGGGCGGGGTGATCAAGTTTTGTGTTTGTACTCGTACCCTTATTTTGATTGAACAGTTTGGTAGCTGTTGGACATGTAGCTTTGAGTGCATGGAATAACCATATTACGACCGACATATGCAGGCTCAGAGTTTGCGTGAAAGAGGATTGTTTCAAAAACAGTGGACTTGAAGAGTGCTTATAAACAGTTGGCGGTTTCTCCACGAGACCGCTGTCTGAGCATAGTGGCCATCAAGGACCCGGTTTCGGGGCTTGCGTTTGGCTTCGAGAGCCGAACCCTTCTGTTTGGAGCCACCTCGTCGGTGGTTTCGTTCAATCGCGTTGCAAGATTGCTCCAAAGGGTTCTGATTGCGTTGCAGGTGCTCGCCTGCAACTACTTCGACGATTACCCGGTGTTAGAGGTCTTGCCGCTTTGTAACAACACGCAGTCGACTATCAGAGCCGCGTTGGACCTGCTGGGTTTCGCCTGGGCAGAAGATAAGGATCTCCCCTTCAGCCATGAGGCCGAACTTCTAGGCGTTCGGGTTGACCTTGGTAGCTTTGGGGTAGTTAAGATTGGGAATAAGCCCGAACGTGCTACTGCCATCGCTGAGGCGGTGGACTCCGTCTTGAGTGCGGGCCATCTTGATCCGAAGACTCTGCCGTCTTTGTTCGGTCGCCTCCAGTTTGCCGAGGGTCAGCTGCACGGGCGATTGGGCAGATTGGCACTGGCCGACCTTAGGGCGTGCACGATGAGTTCTCAGGCCAAAGCCCTTGATGCCACGGCTGTGCAGGCCCTTTGTAATCTTAGGTCCCGGGTTCTTGGGGGTACCCCTAGGATAGTCCCGGCCTGTGTGGGGTCTCGCCGTTCTGTGATTTTCACAGATGGAGCGTACGAGCCGACGAATGAAACTCACCCCGCCACTGTCGGAGGAGTCTTGTACCATTTCGACAACGGCGCGTGGTGTACTTTCTTCTTTGCATGTGCTATCCCTTTGAGCGTTGTACAGAGCTGGGAGGCTCTCGGGAAAAGGCATTTGATAGGCCCAGTTGAGATGTATGCAGTGGTATGTGCGAGAGAAGCGTGGTCGAAGCACTTGAACATGCAGAGGGTGACCATGTATGTGGATCACTCCGGAGTGTTGGCCTCTTTGGTGAAAGGCTCTTCAAAAGACCCTGTGTGGAGGCAACTCTTGCTGATCTTTGAGAGCTGCGACGCTGAGGCGATGCTCCCTTGGTTTAGCCGCGTTCCAAGTGCAAGCAACCCGGCCGATCCTCCTTCGAGAGCTAAGTCAATCTTTCCAGTCAGGGGGCAGGTGTGCAGAGTGTCGCCTCGATGCCCGATCAAAGGCAATGCCACGATTGATCTCCATCTTAAGTGAATGGGGTGTTCGTTGGCGATCCTCGTGTTCGCCATCGATCGGTGCGGGGATGTCACGACTTCCCCCTTCGGCTTTGCCGGAAGGAAAAAGCGCCACATCTGCTTGAGCAATTTTCTTATTCTTTATATACTTTGATTTTCCCATATAGTTTGGGAATACTGTGATTGGAATCTTACTTTTGAAATAAAGCAAAGCTCCGTGGAAAATAAGCGACACATGAGGCTTGCCTCTACTAGCTTTATTTTCCTAGGAGAGTTTTGAAAATTACTGCGAAGTTTTCAAAACGCCTTTGCTTTATTTTGAACTACATTTCATGGCATGAATGCATGCTTTGAATCGTCTGAGTTCATCTCTTTTATTTCCCGCGCCGCCTCGAGACAGGGGTGGGATGGGTGGGTAGCTGCTCCCTGGCCAAAGGGCCGGAAATTTTGTCCCTCCCTCCACTCCCGGGGTGTTCGTTGGCGATCCTCGTGTTCGCCATCGATCGGTGCGGGGATGTCACGACTTCCCCCTTCGGCTTTGCCGGAAGGAAAAAGCGCCACATCTGCTTGAGCAATTTTCTTATTCTTTATATACTTTGATTTTCCCATATAGTTTGGGAATACTGTGATTGGAATCTTACTTTTGAAATAAAGCAAAGCTCCGTGGAAAATAAACCCTCAATCCATCAGTATGCACAGGGTTTCCGATACCACTCCGTGCCCGATCACCATTGGTGAGCTAGCTGCGGACACCGCGGCGAGGCGGCTTCAACGGGTAGCGGCGGACGGCACTCACCAGCCAGGAGTGTACTTCGTCCGATTGCCGCGGCACACATCTTCGGACATGCGCCCAGATGGCTTGATGGAATTGCTCTGTGTCCTCCTGGTATTCGCCTACAGCGTCTGCGGGCATCGTTTCGCAGTGCAGGCAGGGCGGAAAGTCACGGTAGTCACACCCACCACCCGGGTTTTTGACGCCCTCAAGCATGGTCTTGGCCTCAGCAATGCTCGCCCCGCCAACGCGGACACGGGTAACGCGCACCGAGTGGTGGCCGAAGGTACATCCCTCGCGGAGTTTATCTCGGATTGGCTGCCAGAGCTCCCCCCGCCGGGACACCTTACCACGGAGGCGCAGGCTGCATCCCTCTTCTCCTTCTTCTATGACCATCACAATGAATTGGGGGCATTCGTGGACCTCTTCACCACTACAGTCTGCGCTGGCACTACAGGTGCAGTCGACATCTGCATTCTCGACAGGGCTGGCCGATTTACCATGACCGGAGAGGATGCTCATCAGCGGCTCACGGCGGGCAGCACGCGACCCACGGGCCCATTGATCATCGCCTCCCCCACTCATTGGTGGGGCATTCCGGCGGCCTTGGAGCTCCACTCTGTCCTCCATCACACCCACGTGCGATGGGAGGAGCTGTACAGCGCCTATGGGCTGGCCAAGCTTGGGATATCAAGCCCTCCCCGCGAGGACAAGAAGACTGCCCAGTCCCCTCGCTCTGTAAGGCTACAGCGGTAGCAGCTCACAGTGGCATAGAGGGCTACCCGGTTCAGCTCCTCCTTCGGGGGGTGGACTTTGAGCACAGTGGACCGCGCGGTCAGTCCATCACGGCACGGCCGTTTTACCCTGTCATCGATACCGAGTTTCCTGTGTTTGGACTACTGGAGTTCACTAACCCGCCGAGGTTCGGGCTCCATCGCCTCCGCGACCACAGAGGAGGGGGTGTCCCTCTCCCCAAGAGGCTCTTCAGTGCCCTCCGCTCCACCCATCACAGATCGCTGATAGGGTCTCACATGCCTTGCGCGGAACCTGCCACTGAGTGCCGCGGCAACGCTGGTGTGTCGGAGTCAACAGTGATGGCCGTGCCCGGCGCATTCTACTTCTACGCTATTTCCTCTGACACGGTCAACACCAGGCTGCTAGGGAGGTTGCAGCGCTATGTGTCGTCGCGCCTACGACATTCTTCCCCTCAGGCAACATTGCTCCCGCCGGTGGCTACTACTGGACTGCCAAGAGCCCTATATGATCCGACAGGTGCGGTGCGCCCGGACCCGGAGATCGGCGAGCCTGCCAAGGAAGATCCGACGCTGACAGCCGAGCTGCGCAGCCAAAGCTGTGCGGCCTCTCACCCAGTTGCACCTACCGCTACATGGACTCAACGTGTGGAGGACCTACTGGGCGCGGTCGAATCCCCGCCTGATCGTCTTGTGCCAGTGGTCACCTCAATTGCCAGCAGGTGTGTACCAGCAGATGATGAGGATGAATTCGCGGAGCAGCATGACACCCTTCGCCGTTACCAAGCTAGGGGCAGACTTCAACAGCCGGTTAAAGGAATTGACTGCGCTGGGGCACTTCAGCAATTACTCCCCAGCTCTCCGGACTGCCTTACCCTGCTTTCCCTCCCCTTGTCGTTGCCTGCTTGTGAACTCAAACTCAGTCCACAGAACTTTGGGGTGAAAGTTGTGGATTTTGCGGACCGAGCCCTCATGTTGCGACGCTGCACTGAGAGCGAAGCCTTTCGCGTCTGCTTAACACCACTGCTTGCTGTGTCCGTGGCATTGGCCCAGTTTTGTGATCCAGTCCTGCGCTTAGCGGAAGGACAGGTTTTCGACCTGTCCTGGTACGAACTGGCCCGGCCGGAAATTTGGTGGTGGCTGCTCCTTGACGAACTGTCGGGGCTCAAAAGCTCTCTCCCACGGGCTCTCGCAGGACGGAAATCCCCTGTACGCGATGGCAGCCTTATCCAGATGTCTCTGGCTCCCAAGCGCGACCCTACTGCAACACCAGACCCTTTGCCGACCAATAGCCGACGGGGGGAGAACTCCAGCCAGCGGCGTACCACCGGGGGAGGCAGCACTGTTGCCGAGGACAACAAGGGTACTCCGCTTCTGCATTGTGGAGTACTGCTGCCGGTGCAACTACTCTTTTTCCTTACCCGTGCGTTGGCCGACGACCCATCGTCCGCCCCACTCCTGCAACTCGCCAGTGTAACTCCTGGGCGAGATGGCCAGCATATTGAGGTCCGAATCACATGCAAGGTTCCTGTTGACTTGGTAGGCCGTC